CAAATTAAATTTCCTCCGTAAATCCGAAATACGACACCGCTTGGTTTTGCTCGACGTATACTTGGCCTTAACTGCAGCCCCTTTTCAGGAGGAAACGTAGCTATCAGTAGCATTCCTGTTGGCGATGAGGGAGTGGAGTCGACGTTCTTCAATGACAAAGTTCTGCCGCTCATTGTGGAAGCGCTGACTGAATACCTTAAGCTCGATATAATCGAAATTCCTCAGTCCTCATCGAATGCATGGGCGCATGGTTGGGGAGGACAGCGGGTATTGTTAAATCTTGCTTAATCTTCTGTATCAATTTATAGCCTTTATTAAATACGTTATCGCTTATTTGTATCTATATCTTACGAATGGCTTCATTTAGGAAAGTGAGCAGCATCAATTTGCTGAAGTACGAGTTTGCCGCTTGTTGCTTTATCTTCAAGATCGCGCTGACATTGGTGGACCCGTTCTCAACAAAGTTTTCCCGCTGTTTCTGGTGTGTGTATCAAACGTCCATGAGCGGTTAACGACTGAAAGTGTTCAGGTCAAAGAGAATGTAAGATTTTTTATAGAATTGTTATACCATTTTCCACCATTAGTGAATTTATGGCTTGTTTTATATGCTCATTCATTGATATTAGCCGAAAATTCCTTCAGAAGGATGCAGATAATAGTTTGGATCGTAATCACCTACGGTTATCGTTTGACCTGAAGAAGAGCCCGTCCAATTCCCGCTTTTTGAGTGGTGATAATGAAGCCGACAAAACGAAGGAGCAGGTTAGCTTTCGTTATAATACCTACTTATGCCTTGGTAATGGGATCCAAACGCTAAACTCTCGCACCTGGAGCACAGTCTTGTTCCCAAAAACTTCATGCCACTTCTCCCTTCCTTTCTTTGCAGAAGCGTTCTTTTACAATGTGGTGAATAGTGTTTCATAAGTTATCATTCATACCTTTTGAATCTATGAAAGAAGGCGTCTTCTGTGTCGTCGCTGTTATAATCAATCTCCTTTCTGTTTACCTAAAGCATAGGTGGTAGGGCAAAGTACCATGGTTTGTGCTCCGTGCAGGGAATAGGAACTACGCCGATGTCGAGAAGAGCTTAAGATTGTTCACGGCAACCTCTATCGCCTAATCAGAAGATTTCACATGTTGCATTTCCAGGAACGACGTGCCGATGAAATATCAAAGACTTTTAACCTCTTGCTGAATTCGCTGGAAACGGGGATTTTCTGGGTAGTTGGTTCACCGAACTTGTCAGTCAAATGATCCATGTTCTGAGGACATATCACAGTTTGCAAAGGTACCTTTTTGTAGTTTATTTTTCTTGTGCAGTTGATGGGCCAGTTTATTTTCGTTGAAAACGGTCGTTTCATGTCAAGGAGTCCTATATTGCCTATATTGTTAACCGTATTACATTCCAATTTCTAGGTCGTGACATTCTGTCTGGATACGTGTAATCTCGACGGGGACCCTATTTTACGTGCCCAATTTCTGCCAAAATTGTTGCGACGGATACTCAGTGGTCTTCATACCGACCAAAAACTAGTTCTCGTGGATAATTCAGCCTTGCTGATGGTAATAATTTTTCTGACTTATCTAAATCACTTGTTCGCAGTGATGCACACTTGGTTTTCAGATTATCGAAGTTTGCACCAGGTTACTCGGAGAGATATCTCAAGGCGGAGCATTTGAACCCAGTGGTGTGTTTCGTTCCTTGTTGAGAATAATGCGTTTGGCTGCAGTCATATATGCAACAGCTTTGCAGTTCGAATATAGAGTAGAACCAGATCGATCGTGCGATCTTGTGAAAGACACGTATCTAGGCAATCGAACTGCAAGGCAGTCGCAAAGTATATTTGTTTCGTCACTTTATGTTGGATTTGGTCCATTTCATACCTTTCAGTGCACAACGATGAGTTGTCAGAAGGGTCAAGCATTGTCGGAAGTCCTCGGAAGCATGCGCCGAGCCCAGCTGTAGGAGGTGTGAATGATGACGGTCAGGAGTGTTTTACACCGTTTATTTGAAAAATCGCCATAAATTACTGTCGAACAAGGCTTTTTTGAATGGAGATCAGCTACCTTTATCGGTTTTTGGGAATAACAGTGGTGTACGAAGATTTTGGTTTCAGATCAAGCGCTCGTTGAACTGTGCGTTAACGAATGCCTCATGCTGCTTTCATGGGTTTCGCAAATCTACTATACATCTCGGTCGAGTAATCGCCTTCTTTTACTCTCTTCTGTGTGCAATCTCACCTCACAGTTTGTGGATTATCCGCTCTACTGTTTCACCTTAGAGCATCACAGCAGTCCTAAACTGCCGTGTTGGCTTGAAGAGCTTCTGAAGGTGCGAGAGCCTCTTGCATTCATTTACCGTACACGTCTTGATGCCAGCTGTGTTTAGGTCGTAGATGCTGACTCCTGGGTACACCAAATGGCACTTACATCGCAGGTATGTTAGCGTTAGCAATAGCCTTTGAAAAAATCTCTGCAGTGTGAAGTAGTCAGTGTTGCCTTTCGTGTTGAGATTGAAATTCGTCAGTCTTAATCTACTTCCAGGCAATTATGTAGTGATCCATTTTCTGCTCGATTGCTAGATAAGCACGTCTTACAGGGAATTATGTTGATGTTTTTCTATGTCTTCTATTTATAGATCATCGACGCTTCGGATCTATCAGCGAGAACAACCGCATTTGATTTGATACTTTCCATCTACTTGAAATGTTCGTCAGTACTGGCACAGCATGATGCTGCAAGTGGGCGGATGTCCGAAGGTTCTGCGGCTGTTGCTAGCGAGTATGTTGTGTACTTTTCTTTTCGTTTTTTTGTTTACAAATACTGGCTTAGAAAGGTGATCATTCTTTCCGAAATAGACTTTGATAAACCACGAACATGAGTGCATTCTTTGGTGTCCAATGTTCGTTATTATTTCTAGAGGTGAAGGTATCCACCCAACAACAGTGTTGTTGAAGCCGTTGCTGTTCGCGCAGCAACTCCATCAGTTGGAGCGAGAACGAGTTTTTGAGGTGAGTCACGCAATCGGTTAACTCGATTTTTATGATACGCCGTATAGATTTAATGAAGAGGGAACTTTCAGCGCTGCGGACTAGCAGTATGGCGAGGGCTTGGTTCTTCGCAGTGCTCGCAAGAGCACGAGCGGCTAGCTCGATTAATGGCACTGTTGCACTCACGAAGACCCAACGAACCAAGCAGCGATATGGAACACATAATAGTTTCTGCACTGACCAGCAGCGATGCGGTAACATTTGCTTCATGGTCTATTGTTTGTGACGACTTTTATGCTGGGGTCACGCGTGAAACGACGTAGCGTTTTATGTACACCACATCAGAAACAGCGCTATCTTCTCGAAATTGTCGTTTAATCTTAGAGGATCCTATTTTGGAAAGGCTTGAAGCAATGAATATGTAGAATATCCAGAACTAGGAAAGTTCACTGCGAAGGCAGTATTTGGAACATTTTATGATTTTACGATATGTATGCTTCGAGGTCCATGTTGAATGGCTTTATGCATTCTGGGGTGACGATGACGTCGTTTCAAATTTAATTTAATTCCTCCGCAAATGGTGCTTCAAGAAAAGGATTGTTTGTAACAATGTGTGGGTATTGAAATAAAAGGGTGCTGGACGGGTATCAGCGATGGTGTTATCTATAAGTACA